GCGAAAATAAGTCGCGTACGGCTAAAATAAGTCGCGAATGATTCGCATAAACAGGTTGAAAGCTAGGCCTAAATCAGCTGTGGTCTATTTTGAACATTGACTGTTTATACAAGTTGTTCACGACTTATTTAATCTCTGCTTGCCCGGTGTGGATATACACTCAGAGTAACATCACAAGAATCACCTGAGTAAATTACACCAACACAGAAAAAAAACATTTGTACAAAGTTACCTGAAGAATAATCAGATAAAACTGCTTGTTATTACAGTAAGCGGCAATTCGCGTCGGCAATTGCCGAATGCCGCCGCGAATTTCAAAGGCTGCAAGTGTGTTGTCAGGGAGTATTCTCTTATTCAACCTCTCCCCCCCCGGGAGTATTCTCTTATTCAACCTCTTCCCCCTCCCAGAAAGTACTCTTACATGGCAATAGCCTGGGGCTTAGGAATGATAGTGTATTGTTCACTACCCTCCCCCACTGTACAGGCATGCTTTGTGCCTTTGTACACTTGTGAAAATGTTGATAATTATAAGGATCCCTTAAGATTATACCTATAATGTCCAAACAATAAAAGGATAGAAATCGTGAAAAATGAACAAAAAATATTGAATCATTTCGCACCGTGGCCTGGCATATTTTTCAAGCTTACTATATGGTGTGGACATGCACTCAGAGTAACATCACAAACATATTCACCTGAGTACATAACACCAACACACACAAAAATAATTTACAATTATTGAAAAACGGATGAAATTTCAGTGTGATTAGTGAATGGCGATTGATTTTTGTCATACAACTAACATGTCAAGAAATCGCTATTTCACAATACTCGAATCAAGCTTATTTTTATGTGCTAAAGAGTAAAGTAAGGCGCAAAACTACATAGTTTGTCACTTGTGTCGAAGTTTACCTTGCTAAAGCGTAGCATGTAACATAGCATGTAACGAGCACGCGAAAAACATAAGTTTTAAAATAGGTTAGTAGCTGTTTCAAGCTTTTCTACAAACAATATCGCTCCCAATATTTGTGTGTGACTCGCATGTAATTGAGTGCCTCAATGGCTTTCATTTTATGTAGACTCTTTCTAAGCCCATGTTTCTGATGTTTTGTGCAAACGCCGCTTGTCAGATAGGTCATATAGTAATAATGCAAATTAACTTTGAACCTAACACGTGTTCACTCTTACCAGCCTGATGATCAACATTTTATTACAGTTTAACCAAATCTAATTGAACGGCAATGCGCCTAATGCACCCTACGGTACACTAGTTCGTCTAACAAAAGACGATTTTACTCCTCTATGGGAAAGTGTTGGGTTGTAATCATTTAAATTAAGGCTAATTATTTTGTTTAATTTGACTTTGGGCACATTAATTTGGCTAAGTATATTGATGATCAGCTTAGGTCTTTTAGATTATATAAATAGGGGTGAAGATGTTTGAAAATTATAAAGATCACGATTCTTGATGTAGTTCTTCAAAAACTAAAGGAACGTACTATAATGTAGACTGTAATGTACTGTATTTAGCATAGCAGCCTTATTACAATTTCCAATAATGCAGGGTCGAAATGTGATCATTGAGCAGTCCTTTGGTGGACCTAAGATTACAAAAGATGGCGTGACAGTCGCTAAAGCAGTTGATTTACCTGACAAATTTCAAAACCTTGGAGCTCGTTTAGTTCAAGATGTTGCCAATAACACGAATGAAGAAGCAGGAGATGGCACGACAACGGCAACGATTCTTGCTAAACATATTGCGAAGGAAGGTTTTGAAAAAGTTTCCAGAGGTGCTAATCCACAAGACATCAGACGAGGTATACTCCCAGTGCTCTTCTGCAGAGGCACAGAGTAAACATTGAACTAAATAATGTAATGTGACAGAGGTTTCCACTCATCATGTGCGAGGGAGGAACGCAGTTGCACTCGCAAGACAATATAGATACTTTTGATTCACGAACGCGGACCGGAAGTAAATCGAGCCGTTATAGATAGCGATAGTCATTCCTGTTTGAAATCACGAACGTGAAATTGCATCGACTGCCGTTCTTGATTTGAAGCAAGAACTACACTGACGCCATCTATAACGGCTTGATTGACTTCTGGTTGGTGTACTTGGCGTCGCTTGCTTCAGTAATAACACTGCGTCTCCATATGAACCTCTGTGGAAGAGAGAGGTCCCAGTACCAAATTTCAGAGTGTCCTACAAACTATATTCTAGCCATAAAACTGGGCAAGACATCTAGGGCCAGTCAGTACTAATTACAATAACCTGTCTTCATTTTGGCCCTAACTAACTTCATCTTGGTAAAATCCAGTCCTTGGCGTGCATGAAATACAGTTTAATCCTAAAGTAGCGTCGAATGGTATTTTAGAACATGGGCGGATTTACTGGGGGGGTTAACCCCCACTCTAGAATCCTTCTAACCCCTCTTATAAAGTATTCAACCCCACGAAAATTTCGCTTCGCCTCTCCTATTTTGTGTGAATGTCTTTAACCTAACGCCGAAGCTCGCTCAGTGGCGCCGCTTACACCTCACCGCCCTTGTTTTAGAACATCTGTTGTTTTAGAACATCTGAACATCCGCTTCTTGTTTTCTAATAATATAGGAGTAATTTTGGCAACTGAACATGTTGTAAGTCATCTAAAAGAAATGTCAAAACAAGTAACAACACCAGAAGAAATAGCTCAGGTATGTTTGGGTTGATAAAGAAAATCTGCAATCGGAAGAAATGAAATTCGCAATCGGAAGATTGTTTCTATTTGTTACCACCAAATGCATACCCTGGCTGCAGAGGTTTTCTGGTGTTAGGCGAGTTTTAACTTGTGGCGCCTGAGTGCAGGGTACAGCTTCAGCGAAACAAGGAAACACCTTGATCCAGGGTACCAAAGGTACTACCAAAACAGAGGCATGGGGTTGGGAAGATAGAGTGGGACAATGTAGTTCATTATACTGCTGTGTGTGACTTGCCTAGTTTTGCATATTTATATTTGGGCAATTGAGATGTAGATATTTTATAGGAAATGTTCTTTGCTTAGAGTGGGAATTAGTGATCTTTCTTTGTGACAGCAGAGTGATAAATAACAAATAATGCCCAGTAATCTTTTTCTATAGGCATGTTAGATATATATTACTCTACCTATACCGTACTGTATGTGCAATATCAATATGAAAGTTCTTTTTAAGAGTGAGTATCATGCCAGTGATCCATTGCACGCTTGTGTTTACATTTTATTTTTACATTTTGCTGTATCTCATGAATATACTTTCAGTACAAATATTTTGCATAAAAAAACGCAACATTTCACAAGATATAATGACTTACTTCGTTTTAAAGAAGAAATAGAGTTGTTTTTCAATAGGATTCCGAAAAATATGGGCCAATACAAATGAAATCTTGGAGATCACTTATACATATCATTATATTTATAATACCATTTCTGGGACGCCAAGCGCCCAAAATCACTGGCATGATACTTACTCTTTAAGATTTATGTTTCAATATAAACAAGGCCGTAAGCTCAACGTTTATCCCAGCAACTTGTTTTAGTTAAAATATATTTATATAATTAATATAAATCTAGGTTGCAACCATATCAGCGAATGGAGATAGAAGTGTTGGGGATCTTATCTCGTCTGCCATGAAGAAGGTTGGGAAAAACGGAGTAATTACAGTCAAGGTTGGTGATTTATTTTGATTTTAGAACATACTGTATTTGATGGAATGATTTCATTATGTTTTAAAGGCACAGTTCAGCCTTTTGAATGATGGTTTTTAAGGCACATTACAGCCCTTGTAATTGAAAAAACTAACCAGGAAAATCAATTAAGCATAATTCAAGATCAGTGAACTCAATGTTTTCAACATTAAGAATGTTAAAACATTGAGGATATATATTATTTTAGTATACTTAATTCGACCTATTTTATTTTTAAAAATTCAGTATAGAATACTACATGAATATCAATAGCTAGTATAAATACACTAGAGCGATCCCCTGTAACTAACTCAGAGAGTTAGCACTACACATTACAATTACAAGTGAGACGGTATTAACACGAACATAAATTAAGGGTGTTGCTGTCAGTGACGACTTTTAGGACAAATCAACTTATAACTTCTAGTATTGTCCTGGTCAAATAGTACACGAAGTCTATTGAAGAAGAAGTTCTTTAGTCTACATTTAAATGATGGTATAAAGAAGCGCAAGACTTGACATCATCGGGTAGAGCGTTCCACAATACGGGGAAAATAGGAGTCTCTAAATGTTGATGTTTTAGGAATAGTCTTGAGTCTAGTTAGTTTTTTCAATTAAAGGGGTTGCAATGCACCTTAAATTAAGTGTTATGTGTTAGTTTTACGGGGCCGTAGTAATTGGCTAAGCGCTGTTACGGACTCCCTGCTATTAATTGTATTATAGTTATTTACAAGGCAAATTAAGCTATAATAAATTAAATTAAATTAAAACCCATCATTCAAAAGGCTGAAATGGCTTTTTTGAAATGCTGGTCAGCTGACGTATGTTCACTGTGCGTACCTATTTTTGTGATTATGTGCTAAAATGCGTGCTACTTCAAGTAATAAATTATTTAGATGGGTAATATATTATGTCTGTGTACAAAGCACATGAGGTAAAACCTTTATTTTTATAGGACTTATGTTTATAGGGCAACCCATGATAAACATTAGGCTGCTTGTGGTTTTAAAAAGGACTGAATACCGAAATATAGAGGTTTTGATATTTTTCCATGCTGTAATGGCACTAAATGAAACCTCGTTGCTAAACTTTAAGACATCGAAACAAAACGGACTGCGAACTGCTAGCACAGGAATTGTCTTACGAAAAAAATAAAACTGCACAGTCTGCACTATAATATAGCATTTAAACATTTGCAACAAGAAATTGAACTCACTAGAAATGGCACAAAATATTCACTTAAACACTGCAAAGCAATAAATGCATATTAAAATTGAGTACGTCCGGTTAATAGTTGATGAAATTTCGTTTAAAAAATCTCTGAATTCAGCGAATCTCTAAATTCTTTAATCTAATCTCTAAGTTTAATTTCTGTATCGTTTAATTTCTTTATTTTTTGTTAAAATTATGCACTTAGACAATTTGATACCCTGCTAGGCAAAGGCGTATTAATAATATATACTTACTAGTAATTACTACCGCAAGTGAAGTGCTGCCTTAAAGCTGGAAATAAACGTTTAAAGATGCGGTACAGTCTGTATGTATCCAAATATTGAATTTTATTCAAGAGTAGAATAAATTATCAAGACGCAACAATTAAGCTTTGCAAGACAATAAAATGAAATAAAAACCTAAATAAACTGTTTGTATAATAAAAAGAGGGCTTCTTTGTGCACATGCGCAGATGGAACTTTACCGCATCTTTAAATAGTTGGGTATAAATTGCGATTTTAAAAATTCAGAAACAACAGCAGTACCATTAGGGTCAGACATACCAAAAGAATTTCTGGCATGAGGATCAAGGCCATCGTATACCCATCTAATATCAAAATAGCATCATTACTTTGTGTAAAAGTATTCATCAAAGCTAAACCAAAGTTAACATAGGGAGCTCCAACTTCATGCTCATTTGTAATAATTGAACCTTGACGGTCCTTTCCATAGTTTATATACCAAATTGTTTCATCATTTTGTTTCTCATTGGGTTCTAACTCGATTACAATAGACAGTGTTTTATTGCAAGGAAACATTATGTATCAAAATGCTTTTGAAAATGGTCTGATCGCACATGAGAAATATTTGCCAATCAATGAATTATCAGCTGCTGTCCAATGGTCGAATGATTTTCAGGCACACGTACAGCCCAATGAGGCACAAATTCAGCCCAATGAGGCACAAATACAGCCCAATGAGGCACAAATTCTGCCCAATGGCCCCAATGAGGCACATATACAGCCCAATAAGGCACAAATGCAGCCCAATGTGGCACAAATACAGTCCAATGAGGCATAAGTTCAGCCCAATAAGGCACAAATTCAGCCCAATGAGGCACAAATTCAGCCCAATGAGGGACAAATACAGCCCAATGAGGGACAAATACAGCCCGATGCGGCACAAATACAGCCCAGTGAGGCACAAATACAGCCCGATGAGGCAGAAATACAGCCCAATGAAGGCAGAAATATAGCCCAATGAGGCAAACTATGAAGTACAGCCCAATGAGGCAAACTATGAAGTATTATCTAATTTACATAAACGAGCATTGTTTCCCTCGCGATTGTTCACTAAAGATTTCGTGGCCCTGATGAATACTTCCACGAGCAACTAAAGACATAATTTATTCTTAACAAACAACTAAACTTACCGTAAAAAAATATTTAAAGGCAGATACTATACTGATATTTACTGATAGATGTGTGATCAGCAAATAGGCAACGTGGTCGAATGGTCGTGTGCTGTGACGTAACGTACGATAAATATTTCCGACATGATCGCCCCACCTTGACCCCCCTCAATAAAATGAAAATCGAGATTTCACGTCCAGTAATTATAACTCGGTCGAAGAAAATGGGCACTACAGTAACAACGTGAAGATTAGTATGCTGCCTTCGGCAGCAATAAGTCTTATGTCTGCTCCCCAGGGAAATTGCTAGTTTTGTTTTCCCGGGAGTTTCAATGTTTCGTGAGACGAAGTTGAGTGGGATATTCAAGATTTCAATTTTCAAAGACATATATTTGGAAAATTGTTTCATATACAACCGAGCTTTGATGCAATCTTTGTTTGAACAAATGTGAAGAATTGATTTACTATGGGAAATCGTGAAATATAGGGCAAGTTTGCTTTGAAAGTTTATCCCCAAAAGGGAGTAGTTTTAACTTTTCAGGCGGAATTAAAATAACTCGTTGAAATTAACAGTGTTGGAGGAATAAGGAGATTCAAGGTTTCCGAATTCCGACGCCATAACGAAATAAATAGTGCAAGCGGTGCAAACACAATGGAATTCCTTCTTGGTAAATTTGCAGGAGGTGCAAACACATTGGTGAAAACAATGGTTCAAGATGGCGTCGGAAACCTTGATTCCCCCCATTGCAATAAGCAGGTTTTGTACTTCATTGTAAATGGATGTTATTTTGCTCTTGTAGTATACTGCAAAACCTACGTTATAGTTATTAATAAAAGGTTTTCGGCAAATGTCTGCAAAACAATATTCATGAGACCAAGAAATGTAACGATGACAGTTCTTACTCGTGAAGTTCTTACTCGTGAATCTGAAGTTAAGTTAAAACATGTGAAAGTCTTAAGTTATACAGTATAAACTAATCTTACTGTCGATGCAATGGAAGTGTTGATAAAATATTGCACCAATTCCTTTCCTCAACTTGATCAATTCATTTGATAGAAAATTGATCAACTTCCTGTTACTTTTAGATGAGCCAATTGCATTTCGTTTCAGAACCGATTGACCAATAGGAAACGCACAGGAAGTAAAAAGAAATTTGAATTCGTATGAATTGATCAACTTGAGGAAATGAATTCATGCAATATTTTATCAACACTTTCATTGCATCGACAGTAATATTTTGGCTGTTCTTTAACTGAGCAATATATACAGCGTAAATCAACGCAGTCCAATTGCAGTTCCGTTTGCTTCTGCCCAACGGTCACTATCTGTATAACAACCACTACCACCATAATGCATCTCGGTTAGGAAGAAAAAATTAGTTGGCAATTTTTCTGTTGAGATTATCCCGGTCTTTCTCCAGTCTACTGAGACTCCCGTTGTTTCATAAACAAGGTTGTCGGCCAAATACGTGCTCATATCTTCTCTGCGATGGTTTGGGAAGAACGCCAAGTAACTTGGAATAGGATAGGGGCCGCCAAAATTGTATTTCACGTCCTCATTGTTAGATCTAAATCCATTGATGTTAACAGATGTGCTCAGGTACAGATAATCCGACAGCTTAGAGTTTTTTGGTTCTTCGTAGGTATTTGATTCTTCTACACAAAAAAATAACACTGCATGTCATAGTATAATGACGACGAATCCTAAACCAAATTAACCTATTGAGCACCAGCGCTTTCCCATTAACGAGTAAAATCGTCTGGCGTTAGAGTAAAACAATAAAGTATAGTGCGCATTGAGGCGCCATCCAATTTAGTGGGTTAAAATCTGCCTTTGCCCTTCATATTATTCGGTTGAGGGGCTGTTTACATGCACGATCCCGCTTTGCTGTGACAGAATGGAAACCGGGATGATTTTAACGTATGAAAATACTATAGGCTTACACGAAAGTTCAAACGCGGGTTAAACGAACTCAAATGTTTACGAGATCTCGTAGTTCAAGAAGATTGTTATTGCTGTCTGAACAACCTTTTGCTTACAATTATACTACAATCCATTACTAGAAAAAATACTGTAGTGAATCGTGCACTGTGACTTCTGTGAATCTCGCATCTTGTCCCGTCAAAGCGGGGTCATGTAAACAGCCCCGAAGAGTTGTATGTTACCAACACCTCAACCATTAGCACTCGATTACTTGTGATATTTTATAATACCAAATCTAATTATGAATCATAATAAAATAAAACTAATCATCATAACCATTTCTACAACCACATAAGTATAACCCCAATCATAACCATTATCGCTATTAACACTACCGTTTAATTCACACAAAAATAACCTGTATGTGTATTCAGTAAGACAACCAAAGGAGTATGTGATTCCCGTGCCAGTTGTTGAATGAGAGTGTATGTCTGACTTTCATCTTTCTTTTGAATGTAAAGAAGAACTTCATTGCGACTTGTGAAAAGTTGTGATACAAGGTTAGGGAGGGTGCCATTCCTCACAGCTGACTTGGGGATAAAGGTGAAACCTCCTCCATGAAGAACCATTTCACAAAACACTGTCGTCGTAGTGTTGTCGATAGAGATCTCGTAAAGTCCACTCGGAGCCCCTGGTGATTTCATCAGAATATCTTTGCAAGAACGTGGTGGAGTGGGTTTCTTTTTAGGTGGCTGGAATAGAGAGCAATTATAAGTGACAAAATTATTTCAAACAATAACTAGAATTGTGGAAACATTGAACGCATTGTGTGTGTTCGACCATGATCTTATGTTGACACAGTGACTTGTCAATGGAAACTGACATTTTTTTGTCGTAAAAACAAGCAATTGAAACGAAAGGAGCTTGTAAAATAAATTTAGTTCTGAACATGAGGAAATATTGTTAACACGAGCAAGCATTTGTCTAAAACTTCTCGAGGAAAACTTGTCATTGATATTTGTCATTGATATTTGTCATAGAAAGTTTGTCATGTGGAAAACCTTTTTGTTGTACACATTTGCAAATGGAACTTGTCAAATAAAATTTGTCATGTCTCAATTAAGGAAATTTGGTTGGCCTTACGCATGCACGAACTTGTGAAGAAAGCGTGACACTGTAAACCTGTTGATCTGTACAGGACCTCACCTTCTGCAGAATTTCAAGGTTGTTGAATTCTTTCTTGTTAACGTTATTGGTGAATGGCTTGGAAAGAGTTTTATTATTAAGTTCACATAAACCACGTTCCTCTCCTGTCGTTTTGTAGTTTACTGAGGCACACCCTTCATCTCTTGAGCAATATACCGCACATTCAAGCTCCGTCTTTCCACGTTTTGTCCGAATTACGCTGCGAGACAAATATTTACCACGGTGGCGATAAAACAGTATATTGTGGGAACCTTTTGCAAATCCTTCGCTCACGGCAAGGAAAGAGATGAGTTTCAACAAATACATGTTTCGTCACTACGCTCTCACAATTTCAATTAATTATTTTTGTGTATGAACCGTTTATCTACTGCTGGTGGGGAGATGTGTTTCTGGTTAATTTTAATTAATAAATAGACTTATATGCAAATATTTTTAAATAGTTTACGTCGCGCATGCTAAGATGTAAAGGACAAAGTATTTCTACCTTTAAATTATACTTTCAATCAGAGTTTTAAAGAACAGCACTATAGTTTATATGTCTGTAATACTGCATTCAAACAGTCGAACATATGACAAGAAATTGAACTAACTAGAAATGGCATAAAATATCACTTAAACATTGAAATAATAAATGCATTGTCAAGAATTCAGTACTGCATGGTTAATAGTCCATGAAAAAGTCGATTATTTTTTTTATCGTTGATGCCACTGGCAATTTTTGTGAGCGTCACTGTTAGTTTGACATTTTTAATAGCTACCTGCTATAGGCAGAGTTTTATTAAGAAAACAACTTTAAAATGCAAATATGATGTTTGTGATGTTACTCTGAGTCTATCCACACCGGGCGAGCTTGAAAAATATGCCCGGCCACGGTGGGAATCGAACCTACGACCTTTGGAATACTAGCCCAATGCTCTGCCAACTGAGCTACGCGGCCAGGACGGTCCGAGTAAGTGATATTTCGGAACAGAATCTAGTTCCTTCGATACCAATGTAATCTAGTAATATGATTTTTCTGTGTTGGTGTTGTGTACTCAGGTGAATAATATGATGTTTGTGATGTTACTCTGAGTGTATATCCACACCGGGCGAGCTTGAAAAATATGCCCGGCCACGGTGGGAATCGAACCTACGACCTTTGGAATACTAGCCCAATGCTCTTCCAACTGAGCTACGCGGCCAGGACGGTCCGAGTAAGTGATATTTCGGAACAGAATCTAGTTCCTTCGATACCAATGTAATCTAGTAATATGATTTTTCTGTGTTGGTGTTGTGTACTCAGGTGAATAATATGATGTTTGTGATGTTACTCTGAGTGTATATCCACACCGGGCGAGCTTGAAAAGGGTCAGGACGGTTCTAGATTCTGTTTACTAGAACCGTCCTGACCGCGTAGCTCAGTTGGCAGAGCATTGAGCTAGTATTCCAAAGGTCGTAGGTTCGATTCCCACCGTGGCCGGGCATATTTTTCAAGCTCGCCCGGTGTGGATATACACTCAGAGTAACATCACAAACATCATATTATTCACCTGAGTACACAACACCAACACAGAAAAATAAAATGCAAATAATCGTGTTATTTGAGGAATTGCAATAGGCCTAAGCCTTGCTCTTTAGCCGGCTGCGCTGTAAAAATTACTTATTTTTTGGAACTAGTTACAGTGACATTCAGAACTGAACATTTTGCATTATGTGCACAATTCATGTTAATCACTCCGTGCTGGTAGTGCAAAATATCTTATTTATTGAATATTTAAACAAACATGAGCAGTTATTAAATCATGAGTTATAGTAGCGCGCGCTTTCGCCCAAATAATATTTGTATTTTTTACATCAAAACCCGCAAATTGTATTCTTCCCAACGTTCAATATTTGGTGGATACCAGTTATTAAAAATGGCGATAATTATCGACGTAATATGGCGCAACAGCCTAATAAAGATTGTTATATAGCTAGGGTGAACACCAGCGTGATTTGTGGTCACGTGGCTTTAGATAAATGCAATGTATCCCGCCTGGCAACAAGTGAAAAATTGTTGTGTCAAAATAAAAAATGTAAAAGAGAAGAAAAATACACAACAGGTGGCAAGATATGCTGCTGAAACCGTTTAAGTATAGATTCTTTTCATTTTAAACTCGTTTACACTACAGTGTTTTTGTGATGAAATACAATTGTTGTATGCCGAATGTTGTAGATTTTTCTTTCGTCGCTATACTGTATAACAAAACACTTAATGTCTGTTTCCTCGGGAAATAGTTTTGTTTCCCCTCGAATCTCAATGTTTTCCTCGACTTCTTCTCGGGAAACATTGACACTCGAGGAAAAACAAAACTATTTCCCTCTGTAGCAGATATTAAGTGAATATTATAGTCACGGATGATTTTCATTTAGTTTTTTTGTGCTATAGTGTAGGGTGTTCACGCTAGACGTAGTGTTTTCTTTTATGTCAGATTCGTTAGTTCGATCCCCATGTTCAGAAAAATACACAATGTTTCGGTACGATATCGCTGAAATGAAAATTATAGGCTTAACAAATTTGAGAACGGTCTCAAATGGTGGAAAATGAAAGGTTGGTGGCTTGGTATGAACACAAATGTTTTCACTTTATCATGCATATATCGTCGCAAAGTAATCCATCCGAATAAATTTTCTGTGTTGGCTATTTCAAATATTTTAGCTTTACACGGACGCTAAGTAACTTGTAAAGAAACTCGATCATGTCTTCGTTCGAAAACACGTTAATTCTTCTTGTACGGTTGATGTGAGTCAAGACGACAACTGCGACCGCCCGAGGATATGTAACTACCTGAAAAATATAAGCAAAATTATATTTCAAGTCGTGGCATATCCTAATTGACACCGCTCGCGGCATCGTTAGAACGTGGTGTGAGTTTAACCTTCTCCCAAAACACATTCGTATACCGAGCACCAATATACAACTTCATCTCAACACCAGACTCCCCATTCGTAAAATCACTGCGCGGCCCCTGATACAGACTGGAAAAATCATAATCAGTAATTTAACAATTAGACAGCGAGACCGATATGAGCGAATAGTCGATGAAAGCATAATGAAAGCAAAGCTTGAGTTGATTATTCGCCATAGAAACGAGGCTGAGTTGTCTAATTCAGTTATAGTATATACTATATAACTGAATTAGACAACTCAGTTAATGAGTTATTAATAGTATATACCTCTCATTCAGTTATACCGCGGGTGTCCCAAAAAAAAGTACTCCTGTTTGATTCGTAATAACTTCTAAACAAGTAAAGCTTTTAAAGCGAAATAACGTGCATCAAATAGAGGAAGGATTAACTTAGATTTTGATATATTACAGTTGTATTTCACTTAAAATTCACGGAGATATTAATGTTTAAAATCGGGAGCATATTTCTCGATGTGTCTGAAACATGCAAAAAACGGCGTATCAAATATTAATCAAGATTTGCCCGACTGAAACATGCACTATTACCATGCAGTAAATAAATGACACTTGACAAATTGTTTATTATGAAACAAAGTATTATTATATGTACAAAATACAAGCAAGATTTATTCGTCCGAAATTCGCGTGTGTTCCTAGCACGAATACGTTTCCTTATTTCATGAGACCACTGCATCGCGAAGAATCGTCATCGATCGTTCGTAGTTCTGAATTAGGGCATGCTGTCGCAATGGAATTGTGAAGCTCTTCTAACTTCTGCAACGTTCTGAAATCTTGTTAAGAACACTCAAACTCTTTTGCCTTTTCTTAATCTTGGCAAGTTCAGAGTAAACTGAGAATTATATGAAACACAATCAAACCATACAACTTCATAAGACATTATAACAATTAAGCAACTCCCCAGAGACATGCAACATTTTTGGAATAAAACGTAACAAAATAGTAGCATTGATACGCGGTGATGCGTATTTGCAAAAAGCAATATTACTTCTTTCAATAAAGAATAATATTCATCCTGCTCTAATCGAGAAATAATCAACTCAGTCTGTTTGAACCCATTAAAAACATAAAAAAATTATGCTATTTAAGAAAAATTTAAGCGCCTGCCTTCCATCGTCTTTCATGTACCTTTAAGTTTGTAAAGACCTATTAAATATACTTGCATAATTTCGAAGTTCATATTTCAGGAAACGATGAGCTAAGACTTACATGTAAGATGTCTAAATCTATATGCCATATCCCTTACAAACCCTAACGACAATTCGCTGAAATACAAGTTAGCCGGATATGTCATTAAGCAAACAAACGCTGGAATTAATATTTGATATGCCGATTTTCGCTAATTTTAGACACATCCCAAAATATGCTCCCGATTTTGAACATTGATATCTCCGTCACTTTTTAAGTAAAATACAACTGTAATATATCAAAATCTAAGTTAGTCCTTCCTCTATTTAATGCAAGTTATTTCTCTTTAAAAGCTCTACTTGTTTAGAAGTTATTACGAATCAAACAGGAGTACTTTTTTTTGGGACACCCGGTAGTATATACTATAATTGAATTAGACAACTCAGCCTCGTTTCTATGGCGAATAGTCAAACTCAGACTCCCACTTTAAACATGTTTAAACCATAGATATCTTATATACACTAGATAGTGCATCTAATTATTCTGCAATTCAAAAATTGAAGCCGTGATTGCAGTCTCAGGTCGTTCCCATGAAATTAGAAGATTCGTATGTTTTCTATTTCTTAAACAGGGAACTTAAACATTAAGTTAACCCTATTCCAAATTCGTTTTTAAAATATTCAATTGGTGAAAGTTATTGTTGTTTTTAAGCGTTGATTGGCGAGTGGGAACGACCAACATGGCCGTAACCGCTGGAATATTCTTGGCTTCAATTTTACTAAAAGAGATGCGCTATCTAGTGTTTATAAGATATCTATGGTTTAAACGCACACATGCATGAGCGTTAAATTATTTTCTTCCGGCTTCACCCGCGTGTCGCTTTCTATAATAATATAATATATAATATAATATAATAAATTATAATATAATATAATATAATATAATATAATATAATATAATATAATATAATATAATATTTATCAGTTACAGACCTGAAACGAGGGGTATTCCACAAAAAAATTACCCTGAGGGGTAATTTTTTGTGGAATACCCCGAGTGAAAGGTCTATAAATGGTATATTATACCGAACCTTTCAAAAATAAGTAGAAAACAAATACCATTCAATTAACTTTTAATTTCAAAACACAACTTTTGATAACTTTAGGCGACGGACTAAGTTCAAAGTCGAATTTCCCGCTCAAGCATGGTATTCGAAGTCGAATACCATGGCCCCGGGTAAAACACCCAGGGTTCAAATTGCCTAGGTCATAGTATTCGCTGAAAAATACCATGGTCATGTGGTACAAATTTAGTTCTCTGATTGGACAAGCTCATTGTGAGGTATAATATAATATAATATAATATAATATAATATAATATAATATAATATAATATAATATAATATAATATAATATAATATAATATAATATAATATAATATAATATAATATAATATAATATAATATAATATAATATAATCGACCTGACCGCGTAGCTCAGTTGGAAGAGCATTGGACTAGTATTCCAAAGGTCGTAGGTTCGAATCCCACCGTGGCCGGGCATATTTTTCATGCTCGCCCGGTGTGGATATGCACTCAGAGTAACATCAGAAACATATTATTCACCTGAGTACACAACACCAGCACAGAAAGAAAAAAAAAAATCATATTACAAGAACACATTGGTATCGAAGGAACTAGATACTGTTCCGAAATATCACTTACTCGAACCGTCCTGACCGCGTAGCTCAGCAGTTGGAAGAGCATTGGGCTAGTATTCCAAAGGTCGTAGGTTCGAATCCCACCGTGGCCGGGCATATTTTTCATGCTCGCCCGGTGTGGATATGCACTCAGAGTAACATCAGAAACATAATATAATATAATTTATCGCTTCCCTTGCCTTTAACAGAACCATGCAAATTATCATACTCATTCCAGCGTACCCAAGTCATGATGAGCTCCGTTTTCTGGGCGAAATATCAAGCGGACAATAAATAGACAAAACTGCAATTGGGAAATAAATGCTATGCGCGTAGAGCGCATGCCGAATTATTATTTCATAACAAATGTTACAATTTTACTTTTTGAATACGTAAATAAGAGTTCGTTAACTGTTCGCACAGAAAAGGTGGCGTAAAACAAACGCCCACACAAAGACTAGTTACAGGTAATAAACACAGCCAAATTATCTATAAAGAACGCAGTAGTTACATGTTGCAAGCAAAGGCGGAGAGGGCGGGTGAAGTTCTTGTATAAAACTTGAAGACGTGACAAGACCGTAGCTTGAGAACAATGATCTTGTCGTGACTTGTGAAGTTCTTTATATAAAGTCACGTAAGGTCACGTGCTATACCGCATGCAGTGCCTGATAAAAGTTTTACTGTGAACTTGCAAAATGTAACAACTCTTTCCCGTAAAATACATTAGAGCTACTAATACCGGTAAAACCAATTTAGCCTGAGGCTTAAATAAACAAATAAAAATGGGACTGGGAAGCAATAAAATTATTATTCGCAGAGGCAAATAATTCCTATAATATAATATATAGATACAAACATTAATAAGACAAGGGCGCTAATAGTTAATTGCTGGGACAACGCTGTATTGTTGTAATGCCAATGTTGTTTTCAACTTTATTTTATACCAGGATTATTTTGTTTTATCAAACAGGATGGAAAAACTCTCCAAGACGAATTAGAACTCATCGAAGGTTTAAAGTTTGACCGTGGTTACATCTCACCGTACTTCATCAACACTGCGAAAGGTTTGTTTAATATTTCATTTTCCCTGCATGCGAGAATTTCGACCACCTCTTGATTCAGAGTCAACGATAAACTTAAAGGGGAAGATGGTTGTGCACGCGCACTGTGTAATATTGCAGACTTTGCAATCTTTCAAATATCATACTTGCAGTTCTACATAAAATGGTATCTCTATTTTAGGACAAAAAGTTGAATACCAGGATGCGTTGTTACTTTTATGTCAGAAAAAAATTTCTACAATTCAACAAATTGTTCCTGCTCTGGAGTTAGCCAATACTTCACGAAAACCTCTCATTATTATTGCTGAAGATATTGAGGGGGAAGCACTCAGTACTCTGGTCATAAACAGGTGAGAATATATACATGTATTTTGTGTGGAAATTTCTAGCATAAAGAGTGTTCCTTCTAAAAAATCTTTCTGTTTCCAAATTTCTAAGTGAAGAATTATCGCAGAGTAGAATTGGACTGGTTCAGCGATCTGATTAATGAGCTACAGAGTCCAGTTCCAAAAATAGCACTTAATTAAAGTATGCATAATTTATAAAGGTTGAAGATTGGATTACAAGTTGCTGCAGTGAAAGCTCCAGGATTTGGTGATAACAGAAAGAACATGCTTCAAGATATGGCAATTGCTACTGGGGGAATGGTATGGCAAAGATTATTAATAATGTAAAATTTCCAATAGACCTTACCGTTGCACTCTGCCCTCAATGGCCTCGTTTTCATGTTCTTCTTTTCCAGCATGGCGGGCGCACACGGAGGTGATATATATCTTCGAATACATTTCTTTTTATATTTACCCCGATCACAAGCTTATCACTAGAGAGGTTAAGATACCCCGGTTTCGGGGTGTACGGGTACGAGTAGCATGATTTTGGTTAGCAATATTTTCGTCGATGTATGTATCTTTACTCGTAATTAAGGTGCACATTTTTTGCATTATATCATTGTCTATTGCAAGAAAACAGAAAAAGTATGATCGAATTACAGACATCACTAAAACAAGATGACACTACTCGTACCCGTACACCGAAACCGGGGTATCTTAACCTCTCTACTAACTGTATTGTGCGCGAAACATGAGGATATAACCCACATGAGGATATAAAGCCTGCCGCACACGAGAGCAACTTGCTGAGCTAACCGCCTCGTGTGGCAGCTAGCTCAGCTATGCTCACCGCACACGTTGGGAAAACTACTCAACAACAACGTAATTGACAACATCGTTTGCATTTTCCTCCATTTTGTTCAAAGTCACATGAAGAAATTATGGCTCCCCATTGGCTAATTGATTCAAGTAGCTCAGCACTAAGCTCGCAACATCCGCTGACGTTGAGATTTTTCCTCGCGAGGTGAAAAATATCAAACACGATAGATATTTTCCTCAAGGCCTGGAGAGGTCAAATCCTCACGAAAACTATCCGCACACGAGAGAAACTTGCTGAGCTAGCAACTTGCTCAGCAAGTTGCTCTTGTGTGCGGCAGGCTTAACCCACATGAAGACGAGGGCATTGGGACAAGAGTGGGATAAACAGTAAGGTATATTGCATTGAGTATAGAAATCTCGCGTACGCTTAATTTACCATAACGTACCTTGCCTTGCCTAATTAACGTACCCCAATATACCTTAACGTGCCTTGCCTTAACGTACCCCTAAAAAACGTTAATGTACCCTGCCTTGCCTTGCCCTGCCTTGCCTTACTTTACTTTACAGAAACTTAACCTTTCTAGGTATTCGGTGATGATGCTTTAGACACTAAAATTGAAGATATAAAACTTCAAGACTTTGGCGAAGTTGGTGAAATCTCCATAACCAAGGACGATTGTCTTTTACTAAAAGGCAAAGGTCATCAAGATGATATTGAAGCCAGATGCCAACAGATCAGGGACGAAGCCGAAGAGACTACTTCAGAATATGAGAAAGAAAAATTGAATGAAAGATTGGCAAAACTGTCCGATGGCGTTGCTATATTGAAGGTTTGAAATTTTTATTTTAATTTCCATTGTTGCATATAAACTAGTAACAGTACACATTTAATTAAACATACAGTGTGTGTAATAAAAATATCATTTATACCTGTATTAACCACGTTATTATAATTGCGCGATGAAAACAAGTTCTTATTTGTCTTGCGGATTTAAACTACAATATAAGGTTTGCTAATTTGCTTTGTGGGAAAACTACATCCGTAAAGCCGGATCTTCGTCACTGCTAATAATATAAACAATTTACATTATCGCCATGCAAAACCACAAAGAATTTCATTAATCTTCATCATGTATCTTCATTTATTTTATCATGTATCTTCATTAATCTTTATCATGTATCTTCATTAATCTTCAACATGTATCTTCATTAATCTTCAACATGTATCTTCATTAATCTTCATCATGTATCTTCATTAATCTTCATCATGTATCTTCATTAATCTTTATCATGTATCTTCATTAATCTTCAACATGTATCTTCATTAATCTTCATCATGTATCTTCATTAATCTTCATCATGTATCTTCATTAATCTTCATCATGTATCTTCATTAATCTTCATCATGTATCTTCATTTATCTTCGTCATATGTATCTTGAAGTTCATTTATCTTCCTGAATGTTGACTCGTTCCAAGCTCGACCTTTGCTTTCTGATTGTCAGGTTGGAGGCTCTAGTGAAGTGGAAGTAAATGAGAAAAAAGACCGAGTAACAGACGCTTTAAACGCGACTCGAGCAGCTGTTGAAGAAGGAATCGTTCCTGGGGGTGGAGTCGCTCTCTTGAGATGTATCAAACAGTTGGATAATGTTGAAGCGGGGAATGAAGATCAAAAAATTGGTGTTGAGATTGTGAGAAGAGCGATGCGTATGCCATGTCAAACTATTGCTGAAAATGCCGGAGTCGAGTCCACCTTGGTCGTTGAGAAGGTAAGAGAAGCTATGCGCAAAATCCTATGAACACTAACCCAGAGACATTTTGTTGCACCATTCGCCGTTTGTAAAACCGTTAACAAACAGGGAAACATTGTTGCAGAAACATGTTGCAGAGTCCTAGTCAATGTCATGTTTTTCCCGAAAGTGAGGAAGCCAGAAATAGTCTTTTTGCCACAATGTTTTCAAGTTGCAACCATGTTTTCAAGGTTGGGTAAACAGGAAAGCATTCCAGGAAATATCACAATTTCAATTGTAAAATGTCATACACTCAGTCACTTGCTAAGACGTTGGACAACCTCGTTCCAAGGGTCTCACCTCCGCTCACTGTTTAGGGCCGTGGCAAAGGTGACACCCTGTGAAACCGATAGGGTTCAGACTAGGCAGGTAGGGTCAATGGCGGAAGTTAGACCCTGTTTAGACAGGTAGGGTCAATTCAGTCTCATGGGAGTTGAAAGTACAGTATTGTTGCAGGCCAGCGATGAAACAAGTCTGTCATGTCCATTTGTCATTTGTGATACTGTAGACCATACACTTATTTCATTGTCAGTCTTTAAGTGTAGACGACAACATGTTCGTACACTCAGCATATGTTATTCCATTCTCAGGTCCTATCTCTAGACCATAACATGGGTTATGATGCGGCGATTGGTGAATATGTGGATATGATGCAGACTGGTATTATTGATCCAACCAAGGTTGTACGTACTACTATAACTGATGCTAGTGGTGTGGCGTCATTACTTACGACCGCTGAAGTCATGATTGTGGAAGCACCGAAAGAAGAGAAAGATATGCCCATGCCAGGGGGGATGGGAGGCATGGGTGGAATGGGGGGTATGGGAGGTATGGGAGGTATGATGTAAGGGACTGGACACCAGAATTGATGTACTCAAAATAAGCTACAATCAAATCTTACACTACCTTGTTGCTATATTTTTTACAAGTAAATGCTCTCTAACTTTTGAAGGCCGCTGAATACACTGACATCAAGAATGTAATAAAAGAAGCGATATTGGTTTCTTAAATATTTTATTCTTGATATATTACAGTTCTTTAACAGAAAACTGCATATTAATGAAGCTTAACCTAAGTATTTGACATTCCAATCTGCCCATATGCTTGCCCTTCTAAATCGCTGCTACTTCACTGTAAGTAAAATAAAATAAAATAAAAACAGTGTTTTTTGTTTGTTTTTAAATACCCGTATTCCATTCTACATCCGCATTTCCTTGTGGCCCATAGGGTGGACTGAAGTATGCTCAATGCCTTGGGTTACTCAAAACTGTTCAAATGTTTCGCTTATGAAGCAAGGTCCATTGTGATTGTCGAAGTGTACTTTGTTTGGTAAGCCATATCTTGATATCCAACCCATGATTGTCTTACAACAACTTGGCTAGTTTTCCCTCAAATTCGATGCATCTCTGCATATTTTGTACATGGATCAGTTATCACAACGATATTGTCGAATCCCTCTTTTGTTCTCGGTAATGAACCCTTGAGATCTACTTCTATCAATGCAAATGGTTTCTTTTCTCTTGGTCGTTGATGAATTGGTGCATTTCGGTGTCCCTGGGCAAGAGTAGCAGCATAGAATTTGGCCACCAGTAATGAGTTTCAATTCTTGCAAGCATTTTATCTGCTCCTTGGTGCCCTGTTTCGTCGTGAGCTAATGATAGTATGGTGGGAACAGGCGATGCTGGAAGTAACACTTGCTTCTTATGGTTTCGAGTGAATAAACCATGTTCGTTTTGGTGAGTGGACATTGCAATTGGAAATTTTTTATGTCCAACCTTGCATGGACCACTCTCGTTTTGGAAACCACCAATAGCAGCCCCTTTACTAATATCCTCATCTCTCTCTCTTCCCACTTGACATCCCATCCGACTAAGAGCATGTAACTATCCTACACTCGAATAAACTCAATGCGTGGTTCAAATTCTGCTATATCTCTCGTCAATGTCGCTCTTCGTCCAAAAGGATCTTGCTCCAGGATCTTTATAAGAGGTTTGTGGTCCTCATCATTGAACTGTAAGTAAAGGTCCTCACCACTGCTTGTGCTCCTAGCAGATAATTATAAGTAATAACATGACTAGAGGGAAATTAGCGATTAAATTGCCCGACGCCGAGAGAAGATTTGTGAAAGTGCGAGGGCGATGATTTTCGATGAGGTACAGCTCCAAGGAGACGTAATGATGTACGCTTTTGTCTTCTAAATTTCCCCGGGAAATTTAGTAAAAGAAAAAAGATTTCTTTATCTTCTAATTTTCCCTCTTCAAGCATGCAGGGGAAAATTAGAAGGCAAAGAAATCGTCTGTTTTAAACTAAACTTCACGGGGAAATTTAGAAGACAAAAGCGTATGCAATATGTATGGGTATTGAGGGCAATACGGGATTTACATTCCCTTTCAGAACAATGAAAATGGAGGTGATCATGGTATTATACCGAAAATACTTCAGCATCGCTTCTCTGTCATAAGTTGGATATGAACGTTCTCGTTTGGTCAGTGCACGACTGAAATATGCAACCGATGACGATGTAATTGCCCTTGTGCATCTTCTTGTGATAGCTCACCACCCAGACCCACTTTACTTGCATCCGTGGTAACAACAAAGGGACGAGTGGGGTCAGGTTGGGCTAATACTGGAGCTTTAACCAACTCATGTCTTCGTGTATTGAATGCATCATCTTGTCCAAAAGCCGTGTTTGTAGTCGAGCAATTGTACTATAATCCTTGATAAACTTCCGATACCATCCAACTGCACCCAAAACGGTCTATTCTCAAAAGTTGTCTCAACCAAACAGCATTGCAATTCAACGGAGACTGCATCATCTGAAATAAAATCGCGACCATTTAAAAGTTCCTCTACGGATGCTAATTTTGCCCAACCGATCCCACAGCCCGATTTCGTAAACCCGTCATCTTTATCCGCCAAATTCCCACGTCAATAGACCTCGCGAGCTCTTTCTTGTTCAAGACGCCCAAAGTGAAATTCACTTCGCATTTTACACCCTTCGTGAGCTCCCGACCGCCTAACCAGCGCAAAAACACCCCAAACTCAAAGCGCTCCTTTTTTATCCCGGCTTGAATTTTCCAACTGTGGCCAGCAAAGTGGAACGGTTTTAAATAAATTTCTGAGCCAATTGAATACCTAAATTATATGTGCAATCCGTTTTCGAGTTTTTAATCCTACAAACGTATCAGCATTAATTCTCAGCGAAAGATAGTTTGGCCAAATCGGTTCCTGAGACCAATAATTAGGTTGTGGTTTTTTGGGATGTTTTCTAGCGAGACAACATTGACCAACACGTTTTTATAAATAACTGAACAACGAAGAACTGTTTTGCATGTGTCGTTCTTTCCCTTTGGCACCGTTCACACGTGACTGGACGAGCTCAGAACCGTCCTGCAGACCTGTCATGAACTTCAAAAAAGGAAATTCTTGTGATAAATATGTGTTTTAACACAGATCATCGATCAAACGGTTAATTTCAACCGAAGATCTGTCTAAGTGTATAAATACAGGATTAGACGAACTATCATGAAAATCATGTTTCGCTCGCTACTCTGGTTTAAATAAATGATTACAAGCCCAGTCGAATTGTAATCTTGATTACAATTTGTAACCATTCTTTTAAGAGGCAATTTTTTTCCATGCCACGTATTTGCAATGAAATGTGTTCAAAACCTAAAATCTTTTTGGCGTTCCTCTCAAAATTACTTTGTTTTCGCTTTATTCTCTAGTTTATAGAGTTAGCTACCTTTTTAAATGCATCTGCCGTTTGAGAAACATAAAATAATAGTTAAAAATTGTCAATTAAAATACAAATATCAATGATGCTTTAAAATTGACGCCATATTTACAGCCATAGCCTATAAGCAAAACTTACTGAACTTCAGACATCATTTTCTCTTTGGCGTATCATCTAAAATCTCTTCATTTTTGCATTACTTTACTGACAAAGCACTAAACATACTTTTAAAGTTTTGTTTGCCGATTGAGAAACGTATCGGAAAACAAAAAATTTGAATTTAGTCACAACCTCAACTCTCAAGCGATATATTATACGCATTAGTTTTGAGCGCGTGTTACGTAACATACAAAAAAATCTCCTCTTAATGATTTATTTAAACCAGAGTAGCGAGTGAAACATGATTGATATACCTGGTTGCAGTGAACGAACAAACTTTATATCATGAAAATGTCAGACATGATTTGTTCCGCAGAACCATTGCCAGTATATTCTATTCCGTTATTCTAGCTAGTTCATCTGGTTAGTTCATCTTGTGTTCACACTGAGACTGAAGATCTGTCTACGTGTATAAATACGACATTAGACGAACTATCAGGAAAATATCAGTCATGATTTGTTCCCAGAACCATTGCCAGTATAGATCATGCTTTCTAGCTAGTTCATCTGGATAGTTCATCTTTTGTTTACACTGAGACTGAAGATCTGTCTATGTGTATAAATACGACATTAGACGAACTATCAGGAAAATATTTGACATGATCTGTTCCCAAAACCATTACAGATCACGCTTTCTAGCTCATTCATGTGGATAGTTCAAGACGAACTATCAGGAAAATATCAGTCATGATTTGTTCCCAGAACCATTGCCAGTATAGATCGTTATTCTCGCTAGTTCATCTGGTTAGTTCATCTTGTGTTCACACTAAGATGGATGAACCCTCAGACACACCTTGACCAATCATGATAGCATTTCTATATTTCCTATTTCTGTAGTCAGAATATCGTGCGAATCGTCTTATATCTACACTTTGCTTATATCTACCTCGTTTTAGTTCATTCTGCTAGTTATATTGATATATACTAATCTCAATCAAGCTTACATGTAATTATTGTTAATCATGGATAATCAATATTAAAGAACCAATTCTCAACTACGGCTAACACTGTTCAGGGTGCGATAATTCACGATTTTTAGTCGTACATGACTGGTCACCAATGGCTATTGCTGCGTACTTGATTAAGACTCAAGGTGTACTTAGTTGAAAGGTATTCACTCAGTAACCCGAAACTAGGAGTTAGAATAAGGAGCAAACGTGTAAAATCGACTCCAACATTCTTTAGTTTCGTCAGTCCAATCATGTTTCATGTCAAGACATGTCAGACTTACACATATACGGTTTTGAATACCATAGGTTTGGAAAGGTGATGTGGTACCAGCAAAATGTAGGTACGCATATAGCAGGAGTTCCACGTACCTACCTTGTACGTATATTGGCGTACCTCCAGTACGTAAGTATGCGAATCATCGCACCCTGCTGTTATCAATTTACTACTGATTATATCACAACATGTTCAGCGATCATTAAAAACTAAGGCAGTAAACCAATTAAAAATTTTTGGTTGTTCAGTGAATTACGTCTCTTCTGCTATATGGCAGCTCGTCCAGTATTATCACAGAATAGAGAAAAACAGAAGGTCGACTTCTTGGTTTTTCCTATCATTTTGACGTAACCGTAATTCGTCAGGATTTTGATGACGAATCATTGCGAATTATGACGCTTTGTTGGCTGAGTCGACTCTCTAGCTGTGTGTCTTTATTCCGTGATATTGTACTTGTTAATAATACAGCGAAATAGAATAGGAAGACTATAAAAACGTACTACTATTTATGAATTACTATACAATTGCTGGGTTATAAAGCCTGGATGAAACGTGGATGAGAGTGCATGAGAGTTGGCAGTCACGTGACCTTGTTTAGCTGTTCTTAATAAGTCAAAACATAAGTTGGAACACCCATCAAACCTTTATTTTGTTAATCTAGAGCTTAAAATGTCCCCTTATTAAACTGATGCGTGACTACCATGGCTAACTCTTATAAACTCTAGTATCCTCGTTTGATCGTGTTTTAATTGTTACATTGCAGTAGATGGTAGCTAACCTTTGAAATGTGTACACTTATATACTACTTTTGGGAGCAACGAAATGAAACTACATCTCCCAATTTCATTGCCAAATACAAGACTGTCACATGATGAAGACAATTAACATTATTTTCTCATTCTGATAATTGTGGCTGATCATCAATGGGTCGCCCCGTAAGTATATGAACATGCTTTATGAATGGTTGATTACGACAATAAAAGACAATAAAACGATAGAAATATCTTATAAAGAATGAGTCATAAACGCTGATCAGTTTTGTTTAAGAAAGCCAATCTCAAAACGTGTTCATATGAGCTAGTTTGGTACTCCCCGTCACCATCTGCTGCAAGACAGCATGTTGCATAGTGAAACCCAGCTATTAATTAAAGTAAACTAACTAGAACAAAATAAAACACAATTAAAAATCTGTCAGAACTTCCCTTTTTGCTCAGTCGTCATTGTGATGGGAAAATTTCTCCAAGGCTGTGAAAACTGTCTGGGCAACGTTCAACGCTTCTCTGGCTTCTTTCTCGTCATACTCTTCAGCGGGAACTTTGGGAAACGGTTGATTATCTGGGTAGCGGGTTGGTAGGTAGTAATTTGCAACTTTACTTGCACGGTCTAATTCACTGGGTGCCCCCTTGAGACGTGATGCTGAAGATACAAGCCTGTAAATTTCATGCGTGTGCAATTCTCGTCGTGGCATACCACATTTGGCGTATAGCACACCTTTCAAGACTTTCTCCACACATTGTTGGCTCAGGAAACAGACTTGTGAGTAGGATTTGCCAAACAGCTTGGTGGCGACATTTAAGTCTGCTTTCGACTGCTTGATCCATCTCTCTGCTTCAGCTTTATTCGGACTAATAAATTCCGAAGCGCTATAGTAATCACCAAATGACATCCAATGATTATAACTACTAAAAGTAATTCTCTCCTGTCTTCCCCATCTTCTCCAATAGCTTGTATAGAACCAAGTTTCCTCTACACGTAGAATTTCCAGTCTTGTAACTTCATTTTCAATGAATGTGGTCATCTCAGCTGCAACTTCAGGGTCCTTGCACCGAAACCAATGTAAAAAGAGCCTTCTAAGCACTTTACGTCGTTGAAATAGTGATTTTAATTTTTTGGCCAGATTTAATGCTCGAGTGATGTTACATTTTTCTGCAACAACGTCCACTTGAGTTTCGTCGGTATCGCCTGAAACAGGATTACCCTTATCGTCTTGGTGGTAACTGTAGATATCGAGAACACTCACAGTTCTAAATTCAGTTTTTCTACCCAAATCGATTTTGTATTGAGCATTGAAGTCGAATTCTCTGGCAGCTTTATCAACCGCATTGGCACGTACCAAGATCTTTGCCAACGTGTAGGTAGTCGATTCTTCGGCTTGCTCGCCCTCTTTCCAATTTCTCTCGCTACCTGATTGAGAAAAAAGGTAAAAGCAAAAATGATGTACAAAATTTGAAATAGCTAAAATGGGTCTTGAGTCTGTCACAAACACTTGATTTTTTTCTCCAAAATTCCTACTGTGCATGGGAATAGTATGGATCCTAAAGAAATCCAATTTGTTTAGGTAATAGTATGGTTTCGAGTGCAACTTGGAAAAAACATGCACATCAAAGACTATATAAAATTGCACGAGTCCGAAGGGCGAGTGCAATTTGAAGTCTTTGAAAAACCCACGAGTGTACGTTTTTCAAAATTGCACGAGAAACCATACTGTTACTTATTGATAATATACATGAAAAAATTATGCAGTCACGCGTGCGTAAGTCACATTAAGAAATTAAGAAAATTAAAAAATTTGGGAAATAAAAAAATAAGAATATTAATATTATACTGTATAGTATTTCCTTTCTTGCACTGCATGTATTTCATTTTTGGCACTATATTTCGAAAAAAATGCTTTTTATGTACATCAGCTTTAGCTGCGATTTTCTCGGTCAAATCAAACCATATCGTCAAAATAGATGGTCAACTTAATTAACGCATTTCTATTCTAAATAAGGCGCATGATTCCCACCCGATCTGTATATTAGCGCGCTTAATTAAACCAAGTTTTTCTACTTATCTACAATCACGTCAAAAATTCTTAAAGTCTTACCTTCGTTGCCGTAAGCGACGCGAGTTCCTTCCTTGAAATGACACAGCGGGTTTTGAATCATGAGATAGTGATAGACATTTGGAACAGGCTGTCCTAACTGCTCGCTTTCTTCATTGTAGTCTGGTGCTACGTTATGGGCGTTAAGCACGTCTGCTATCTGCGAAGGTGAATCACAAGACAGCATATCGCTGAGTTCCCCAATCTCTTTCAAACATCCGTCCATAATTTCGTTTACAGCTTTTGCAAAGATCGCGTGGTGCTTTCGTCCACCAAATTCGTGTTGAATATACAGTGTCCACGAGTTCCCTTGCTTTTCGACCTGACATGTTTTCACGCTCGCGCTGTTTGGCAATGGTTGCTTGCTCTCCGCGTTAACAAGATGGATTTGTACTTGACGCATGCATTTGATCACAGTGAGCTAAACGGAAACACGGACTTAATTATTAAAATACCTAAGCATGAAATCTCTCATGGAAATTCACTTGTGAAAAACACTTTTAAGTAATTCCATGACGAGCGAAATGCGAAAAATTTCGCGCGAAAAGGTTGAACGCATCATGCGCAACATGATTTTGGAATGTTTCTCTGCGAAATGTTTCTCTTCGCCGGGTAGTTGAATTCGTTTCTACTCCGTTGCGAAATCGATGCAAAGCCAATCAAAAGCTTGCATTTGTTTTGAAGTCATTCAAAAATTGCGCGTTTTTTCTCTGCTGTGGAAATCACTACGAGAGAAAATTTTCGCACAAGCGTGTTTTCGCGCGAAATTTTTCGCATTTAAGCGGCTTCGCTCGTCGTGGAATTAGGCCTTAAGACATTTTTTAGTACCTGGACTGGCCTAAAATACTGACAATGCTAGCCAGGAATGACATATAAGACCAAACAGAATACTTATTTTATACCATAAAATATAACTCACCTTGGTAGAAGTAAATCTCGCAGCTCTTGCTCTATCCTCGTCGTCCAGAGTTGATTTTTCTTTCTGATGTTTCAAGAGACGCAGGATGCCGTGTTCAAATTGTGAAGATCGGAGAACCAAGATAAACTTCTGTATAAACGGACAATCCATCTCCGTGCAATAAATACATGTCATGTTCCTCTTGCACAATGGATCTAACTCTTCGCGCACCAAACTGCTCAATGGTGTTGGTCGAAGTCGTTTTGGAAGAGCATTCAAGTAGGCGTCTTCCAGTTCTCTTTTCAGCCCGCATTTTTCAAGCGGATATAAAATCTCGTACCCTTGATTCTCTACTGACTCGCGAAGTCGTGGTTGCATTTTGCATACCAATTTACTTGATTTAATGAGTCGTTTTTTCATGCTTGGTAAATTCAGTTCTTCGCAATTTGATAACCTTGACTCGACTTCAGTTGAATTACCACGGAGCGATTCTAACAAAACAGAAGTAGCAAAACATGCTTTTTGTTGTTCTTCAGAATTCATCGTAATTTCGGCACAAGAATCTTTAATAGACTTGAGCACATTAGCCATTTGTGAAGGAGTCATTTTTTCCGTAACTCCAAGCCTTTTCAAAAGATGTTCATATTGGACGTAGTCCCTAGGAACCACATGAAAATATGGCTTCAATTTCTCTCCAGTATCTTCAAAAGACAACCCTTCGCCTTTTACCAAACACCGTTCTTTGCTGAGAAGTATACAAGCAATATTTGTTAAACACTTCCCAATATTTCTACATTCCTCATTGCAATTCGGGGAAGGCGGGTTTTTGGCACAATTTTGCATCATCCCTTTCAAAAACTCATAAACATCTTTAAAGACCTCAATAAGCTTCTCTGGTAAGATAGAGTCAGACATAATTGTATCCGTAGCACATTTTGAAATTTTTTTCACATGCTCAACAACAGATTCAATCGATGGCTTCGATGGGATTCCTAAAGATGATGAGGCAAGGTAAATGTTGTCAGGATACGCCCAATCTGGTAGAAGCTTTGCGCAGGTCCAAACCAAGTGCCTATCTTTCCACGGCACTGATTCGCGGAACGAAACAAATTCCAACTTTCCATTTACACAATATTGGGGATGAAGAGAAGAGAGCTCAATTTCTACTTCTTCAGGAACAACAAACTCGATTTGGGAGATAGTATCCTTAAACCAATTCTTACCACCACTTTCTAGCAAATATTTCACGAGAGCCTTGGACTGAGAAATAATGTTCATATCATATTTAGACATGCCCCGTGCAGATTCTGCTACGCCACTTGCAAACTTAATAAATTGCTGTTCGTCGCAATCCTCCTTCATCCCAATTTTCACAAGGAAATCAAGCCAATTCCTTTTGTTAAACGGAGCCGTTGGAAAATCGTTATCTCCAGGTCTAAACATTACTTTAAATAACTCGTTATGTGGATTGAAATAGCTTGATGCAACGCGTAGTTTTCCAGTTTGGTCAGGAATACAGCTGGTGGATTGTAACTTCTGTTTTAATTCTTTGGACATGTAGTGTGTCATACTTTTGATGTTAGTTAAAAATTCGATCTGGCATTTTCGACTGAATGATGAAAAATTTGGTAATACATAAGTAATGTAAAACTTAGAGATATCGCAGTCCACCATAATTCCAAGAGCGTTGTACAATCGACCTAACTCGGATGTTAGTGATGATGGCAGAAACAACTTTCTTTCTCCATCCATACTTTGAAGTTCCTTTATCCCGTCGTCGGGTAAACCAGAAGGAACTTGGATGTAAGACCAATAAGATGATAGCGAGTGATAGTTTCCATCCACGCCTTTGTAGAACGGCAATGACTTTGCTATGTTCATGGATTCTTTGTTTTGCCAATCTACCTGGAAGTATCTCAATAGAGTGTTGATCTTTTCGTCATCAAATTTACTCATGTCAAGTATTCCAGTTGAATTCATGTAATTAAGAACATGTAGTACATCAGATATACGATGTGGGTCTGCGACTAAACGAAGGATGACAGATAAAGCATCTTTAGTGATCAATGTATCCAGGAAAGGACAGGCTAAGCTCTTGAGGATTTGTGATACTTTCTGTTCAAGATAATTTCCTTCTTTGTCGTCAATCACTGCCAGTACTGTTTTGGCGTTATCAACTGTTGCGAGCTTTCCATCCATTGTTGGAATAATAGGGTACTTGCCAAGAAATTTCACAAGGCTACTTGACTGATTTGTGATGTTATTATCTTGTACACAGGTTGCAATGAAATATTCTCCGTCCACGATTTTTTTTTCAGCATTTTCTGCATTTTGCAGGAACTTCCACAATCGACGGAACCATTCTTTTGAAAGAACGCCTTCTTCAGGGTAATACCATGGGACGTGTTCTTTTCCACCTAACTCTAATTTTCCATTGAAAACATCGGGCATAAACTCGGTAGCCAATGACTGAATAGTAAGATTACGAATAATGTCAGGCTGAAGTACACAAAATGTTGATAACAGCCGAACAAAATCGCATTGCACAAACTTGAAAGCTTTGTTCGGAAACAATTTGCTGAACAATGAACAATATACAGGAGTTTCTGAAGAGAAAGTTCTCAACAAGTTATCATCAGTCAAGAGGAGTGGTAACCCATGGATACATTTCGAAGACTTTATGAGCGCCTCCTCGCAATATTCTAGAATACTTCGTAAATTGGATTTGCTTTGAATGTTAGAACTATTTAGTTGGACTGGAAGTTTTCCAATGTTGCACCTGGAGTTTTCGTCTTGAGAGGTCAACAAGAATTTAATGACATTTTCTGGTGTGAGGACGTGGGATTCGACCTCGGACTTTAACAATGCCTCATGGATCTCCAATGGCGTGTAAAGCAATACAGGCATATGTATTTGTAAAAGCGCTGCCAGCAACAGTTGTCGAATTTCCCGCTCTTTTTCTTCAGTGAAGTAAACAATATTTGGAGGTAGCCATTCAATATAACATTTAGTAGGTGCATCGGCTCTTCTTTCAGCAAAGGTAGTGTATCTTGCTGTCTTCATGTGCTCAGAATTCGATTCTCTCGCAGACTCTTGGTATGTTGGTTGGTAATAGGAGTACTTGCCAAATACATTGCGAAACGATCCACTACTACAAGCTGTTTCTTCACATTTACGTGGGAATCTAGCATCGGTAGATTTGCTTGGTCCACATTCACCTTGTTTATCCTCCTCTGTTACGACAGTACCACGCGCATAAGAGACCACGGGTAAAATTGGAGTTTCTTTTAAACATTGGTAAACTGCCACGGCAAGAATACTCCATTTTGGGTCTGCAAAAGGATTGGGAAATAAGTTATGATACCAGTTCAAGGCTTTCGTAGCATTCTCCGCGGTCGAAAAGTAAATCTTGTCCAAATCTTTCTCGCAATGGGGGATATATTCTCTTGCTTTGGTAATCAATGATGCATAGGCAGGGCCAAGTACTTGTTTCTTCATGAATGCATTCCATATTGTTTTCCGACATGTTCCACTGGGGTCAAACCACAAACCTCGTCTCGATCCATCGAGCGCGAAGTGTCCATTCACATTGACTGGTAGAAAGGTTTTCACGGGCAAAGGCAGGAAACAGTAAGCCACATATTCTTCGCTGCGACTGCGACCATGATTCGCTGATAAGAGTGCTGCAACGGCACCACGGGAAACAAACCAAGATCACAAACGTTTGGAGTTTGTTCTTCTGTTCTTGTTTCAGTATTGATGCCAAATCTTTGATGAATAAGCCAATTTTCCTCTAATTTGCCAGTGTCCTGAATACAGATGGTATACGTCGTGTCTTTAATGGGCACAGCGGAAGTTGCTACATTCTTATAGAATTGCAAGTGAGAATGTAGCTCAGGTAGTTTCTTCTCATTCTTTTGTTCAAGCAGAGAGCCCACAGAGTAGAACTGTTTCAACTCACAATTCTCATCGATTTCCCACAAACCAATTTTCTTAACGTGATTGAGGAAAAGCAACAACTTTTTCGCTTCATTTTGAAATTTGCTGAACAGACCCATCATGTCTTTATTCGCAACAGGACGGTTTGATATTTTTGATGTTCTTGATTGCTCATCGGTTCTCAATGGAAGTCGAAACATAGTGGAACCTTTCAGAGGGAAATGATCACCGAAGTCTCCGAGGTAACCGCTAACTGTATCAGAAAAGATGTCTTTAAAGTCGTCGTCAATGTTGTCGTATCTTCCACCGGGAGCTTCCTGGGTTGCTTCAGGACTGTATTCACAATGTGGATCAAGGATACATAGTGTAATATCGTTATTATCGTCTGACAAGAAACTTGGACAATCCGTTAAATGGTAGACAGCGTTGAATCCAATCCCATACTGACCTGTTTTTGCAGGGTCATCTTGTTTGCTTCCAATTCCAAGTTTGCAAATTCCGTCGAAATCATGTTCGCTGAAATACTTGTTGTTGTAAACACATAATGCTGGTCCTTGGATTTTCTTCGCGTTATCCTGAAGGACGCGCTCATGGGGAAGTGTTCGCTTGTCGTAAATGAATTGTACTTCAGTTGCCTTCGCGTCATCTGCGTTTTGAACGAGTTCTTTCAGGATGCCGACATCGCAAGGGTATGATTTTAGGATGTTCTTTATTCGATCGGTTAGTTTCTCAATTTGCCCAAAAGAAGATATAGACATCGTGTTACTATACTTCTCTCTTCTTCTAGTGCGCAATGATTTCGCTCCAAGCTTGAGGGCAATGTTTTGGTTAATATCCGAATGAATGTAGCGCTCATTTCTACCATATTTCACACGAAAACTTTCAGGAATTGTTAGATCTTCGCTATTGAATAACACACCTTGGGTGTCAGGCAGTGGGATTGTACCAACTCGTTGTTCCACAGAAGCATCGTGGTGGTTTTTCAGTTCGTTGATCAAAGTCATTACCAGATCTATATCGTTACGTTTCATGCAGGAATCTTTCTTAGATTCTCGGAGGGAATCCAGTGCTTGGAGAAAATCTCTGGGTGTAAATACTTTCTTTATGCCTATTATTTTGAGAAGTTCTGCAAATTCTCGTTTGTATTCGTCAGTTACACTGTACAGGAACGGGACGGCGTATCCTTTCCAATCCAACGCGATCATTTTGTTCTCAACAAACTTTCCATCAAGAAACAACCACGCCATACTTTGAAGCTTTTCAATAACTTCAGCATCTGGATTCTTGGTTAATTCGTCATTAAGATGTCTGTAAACCAGTTTGCAAACTGTAATTTTCACGTTGTCGTCCGCATTTGATTCTCTGGTGATTTCCAACTGTTGCAACACATGCTGGCAACTTGGACGTTCTGAGAAACTGAGCACATTTTCGAGGCCTTGCAGCGAACCGCATCCATTTTGGTCAGTATCATCCACGATTAAACAAGATGAGCCAGTAAGATTGACATTTTTCGGCAAGAAAAGGTCACTAGGATTACGGAATTCTATGGTATGAAACTCAGCTCCTTTCCATGGGAGTTTATAAGTCGCTGGAGGAGTGAGACGCACTGGTAAGAACTTTATGTTCTGAAGAAGGTGACTACTCAAACTACCCTGCTTTTCTTCCAGATATCCAATATTGTAGCGTAGGTATTTGATAAGAAATCGCGAGCGCTGTAATGCTGCTTCTTTGTCTTTCATTGCTAACTCCTCAATAGACTTCGCACGTCCGCAAATTTCGTTCCAACTTAACAGATCTTTAACCATTCCAAGCTTCTCTAGGGCATTCAGTTGACTATTATTGAGCTCTCCAAAAGGAAATCGATTTTCTTCAGGCGAATACAAAACTGCAATAATTTCAACATTCGGGTTGATTAGACGACACGGTCGTGCTAGTTTTTGGCCATCGGGAGAACACGGAATGCATGCAGACTTCTTGTACAAAGACTCAAGCTGCCTCCAATCTTCTCTTGACTCCTGGAAGATGTAATGTAGTCCATGGTGTACAATAGGATTTCGCAGGTAAGCTGAGATGGAGGGTAAATTTGGGAACAAGAAATGCTCGAAGAATGACAGAAGGCTTAAGGTTCGGTCCTTAAGAACAGTACTGACAGAACTATCAACGGAATTTTTCATTGCATTGATTACATCGGATGGAAGATCAAAAACGTATTTACCAAGACTTTGCAACGTTTTAATTACTCTGTCATCCTGATACTTTCGAAGTTCATCATCCAAGATATATCCATCAGTAATACTCATCCACTCTCCGTTGCTGCAAAATAACTTCAAATCTCGCTGTACCATCTTTGTATAGAAACTCGAAACGAGAGTACTCCATGACGTTCTACAGTTCACAAGACGTGGCCAAAAATCATGAAAGCGCTGATCAAACTGTGATAAGAAACCACTTTTTGACAAATCCACCAATCTAGAAAGTAGCATGAAATATGCCTCCGGTATCGCGTCTTGTAAAAGGCAGTCGTTCCAACGAGATTCTGGGTTTTCCTCTGCAGTTGTCTTTTCCCAGATTCCATCGCGATTTGAGCGAACGGCGAAGGAGCTGTTAACATGAATAGGTAGTCCGGTGGAAATCGAGAGCGGTAGAAAACAGAAAGCTTCGCCTTCGATTTGTTCAGCGGCGAAAATTTTGGTATCCACCATGTTATTGGTTGAGTTGCTTTGAAATAAAGCTGCGGCACCAGCAAGTGGCAGCAAGCCATCCTTTTGTCCTTCTTCTGCGGCGAACTTAATTGAACGATCCTTTCCAACACAATATGATACAAGCCACATACAGCTATTGGCGAGAGATGTTTCGGTATCGGTAATTGTTGACGGATTTTCCCTCTTCACAATTTTAACCTGCTCCAAACTTGAAGGGGTTTCATCCAATGGTAACTTTTTTAACTTTTTCTGCCACCACTCGGAGCACTGCTTAATGTAGGAAGGCTCTGATACAGTATTTGTGTTTTGGATTTCCTTGTTGATGGAAAGTACTAGAGTTGTGTCTTGAGGTTTCCCTGCTGAACCAAGTTCGTGTAGTTCAACATGATTAACATTTTGAGTGAACAGAAGTAGGAGCGAGGCACTTCGTTGAAGAGTGCGAACGATTTCTCTCACTTTGGAGGGATTGTAAACTGTTTCGCAAATCTCACTATTCTTTGCTTCACATTCTGTGCGAAAAGAGAACCGAAATAGCGTTCCTTGGTAATGAAACTTCTCACCAATGTTTAGGGCTGTCTTGCATCCAAAGACTTCATCATAAAGAGAAAACTGGTCTGCAAACGCTGTCAAAGGTCTTGAATTCTTGGCAAGATCAATGCGAATTCCGGGTCGGGATTTGTCACGAATGTGATTTGAGATATGATTGACATTTGGGTCGAAAATACACAGATAGTTTCTACTGATAAAACTTGGTACATCCGTAAGGTGATACACAGCATTAAAACCAAGACCAAACCGACCAATCTTTGAAAGATCCTCCACTTTCGTTCCTCCTGCTAGCTTGTTGATATTCTCAAAATCTTTATCAGTAAACACAGCATTATTGTAAGCCCACAACGCTGGACCTTGGCTGTCGACCATGTCGGGAGAAAATAGACTGTCCGTTTTACCTTGCCTCCAATCCACCAAAAACTTGACTGTAGTAGCACCTGCATCGTCAGCATTTTGAATTAGCTCTTTGAAGATTCCAACCCCTTCTTTGTACTCTTTAAGAATATTCTTGATTCGTGTTGTGATCGGCTCATACGGTCCCGTCTGTTCGAACTCGATAGACTCGGACGAGAGTAAACAAGAACTCAGAGAAGGTACGCCAAGGAGGATAGCCAGTTTGGGTGGAATATCCTCGTGAATAGGATGGAAATCATCTGGAATATCCAACTCAGTTTTACCATGCTTCAACCAGTCCTGGTCGCAGTACGTACATTTCTCGCATTCTTTTAAAACCAACTTGTTTTCATCGCTCTGTACTGGAACAAACACTTTCGCTCGTAGATCTTCGCTTAACCTTTGTCCATCGTTAACTAACCATTCTAGTATTGAGCGGCAAAACTTTAAATCTTTTTCCAGACATTTGGAAGAAACCTGACGTGTTGAATCTTCGTGCGCTTCTTTAATGGCGGCCAAAACCAAAATGATATCTTCCTTAGAAAACTGTTCTCGCACACCGTGGGTTTCAAAAAACCTTGTGAGCATTCCGCCGTCATTTAAAGTATCTGGCAGTAAGAAAAGTGGAGGCCGAAACTCAAATGGCAAATCTTTTTCTAGAGCCATTTTTTTCGGCGAGCAAAAACCGGATCCATGCCAGATCCAATTCACTAGATCATGTCGTTGAATGGCTTCGGATATGATATCTTGTGAATGCACTTTAGAAAGATATAGATAGATTGTTTGGAGCATTTCATTATATTGAGAATTTGGTCGCTTTTCTTCTTGCCAAATGCTGATAGCTGTTTTAAGATGCTCGATAACTTTGTTGACATTGACCTGTTTCTGAATACCAAGCGAATTTTGTATATCATCATTCATTTTGATGCCGAGTATCGGTGCAGACGTTCCAACAAGGAGTGCGTGAGACTCGCGAAATAGTTCGTCTGGTTTATAAAATATAGTCTCACTGCTGTACCATTTATTGCACATAAAATTGGGGTAACCCGTTTCGCGAGGATATTCCTTTGCGCGAGGTAGCCATTTGAATTCAGCCAATTTGGATATCAGTGAATTACCACCGAGACGTAACTGAAGAAATTCGGGTCTCTGATGAAAAATTGTAACCAATGCTTGGACTTTCTCAAGCGCACTATGGTAATCTGACAACGCAATTCTTTCAGCAACACCAAGAAGATCCGATGCGGTAATCATGTCTTGTGCACGAAGCCCCAACTCTTTTAAGATTGAATTCAGTATAGAAAACTCTTCTGATGGAAATTTGCTGTCTTCCCCTAGGAACAAACGAATTAGAACAGGATCACTTGGATCATATAGTTCACACGGCTTCTTTAATTCCCCGTTTCTTGTGCTAAGAAATGACAAATCTTTGATTTCCTTCAGGAATTGCTCGTTTTGTATCTCACATTTTCTTTCCAGAATCCACAACATGATCCTAGTTGTTTCTTCCAGACTGTAAACCGACTGAGTTTGAATGTCAGGAAAGAGAAATTGGCAAAAAGTATCGGCCGGCTCAATAGGCTCCAAACCTAACAAACGAACCAGCGATTCAAGTTCGGCAGACGAGATAATTTGGTTGGCTTTGCGAAAGTTAAAGCCATCTGGAAGTTTGAATTTCGATGACGCAACACTGAGAAACTGCCCGCTTACCAAGGCTGCTGTATACGAACCATCAACCGTGTCCAGTAAAGGTAAACGGCGTAAAACGTTCTTCTCCTCTTCCGACAACGCTTGTGAGGTAGAAAAGAAGCTTTGGAGAATCTTTCTTGCGTCCTTGGAACAACTCCTGATGTAGGTATCCGCAGACTCCATCGAACATTTGCCAAGCATTAACGTAACTTCGGCAGGCACTGGAGATGCTATGTACGAGCTGATATCAGGATGACGCACATATAAGAGCGTCGACGTACAGGGCAACACAATACAACCAGCAGCTTTGAGTAGTCCAACTACTTGAGAAGGCAGCTGCATATTCTGAGAAGAATCTGAATTAAATATGAATCTGGATTTTTTTGAGAGAACACCGAGTGCTTTCTCCAAACCTGATTGTAACGGTATTAGTGGAATCCCTTCGAACTGCTCAAGAGATTCAAAATTATCATTGATCCAATGCCATATATCATTAACCCATTTCTCAGGCGGATGCCTCGGACTGTCAGAGTTCCATGAAATTATGTCTTTCTGGTTGCTTGCATTGAACCATTCATCTGGAAGACTTGAACGCAAACATGCGACGACAAGCTCAGGTGTGAGTGTAATCATCTGTGTCGGCTTGATTTCATCCAATAAACCTGTTGCCATGGTGACCAACTTCTCGTAGGTTTCTGTAGAGATATTCTTGTCTAAGAAGCGATCTTCCATATTTGGCAGCAAATCTTCAGTACAGCTACCGTCTGACACAAAGATGGACGATGATGGGTCAGAATCATGACGATGTCTGGTAAAAGCAACAAACTTACTAGATGCCAAAGGAAGTAGAGGAATGCCTGTAAGCTCTTCTGGCTGTGGGTCATCATGGAGAACGTAGTCAAGCAACAGTAGTTTATCGTCATGGGATGCTGTCTGGATAGAATTACTTCTTAGAAAATTTCTAAAAAATTCCGAGGTAATATCTTGTCTTTTACCGAAGTATTTCTCAACCATTTCGCTCACATGATCGGGCAGATCTGTTATTATTACTTTGGAATTTCTCAATAGTGTTTCGAGGACAGCGTTTCTGGTCTTTTGCAACACGAGGGCTTTTTCCATTTGATCCAGGAGTCCTTCTTGTAGGGTTATCCAAGATGTGCCACTCGAGGATTGAGCGTGGAATAGATTCAGTTGTGTTAACTTTTGAAAAAGAGGGTCTAGTAAAGAATTCCAGTGGCCTATAACACCGTTTAATTCCGGAACAATGGAGTACACAAGTTCACGTCTCTGTATCTCGTTCAGACCAGTGATTGGGCAATCTGTAATAATTGATTTAAGAGCATTGTAGATGACAGAAGATAAGATTTTCGCTACTAATAGCACATTCCACTCCGCAGTTTCATTATTTTGACATTCACTCCCAGGCCACAGAAGACCACGTCTGTTATCCGTCACTCCAAACGCGCCATGCACCAATACAGGCAAACCGGTCTGACAATCCACATCACGTGGCAGGGGTAAAAAACAGAATATACGACCGCTGTCTTCCTTTTGAGCATTCTCGTTTAACGGAACATCACAACCAACCCATGGCAGCAGGCTTAATTTTTCTGAAAGCTCTGTCATACTTTCATTTCCCGCCAAGCCAATTTGGTTAAGTACAAACCATTTGAAACACTTCTTCCCAGATTCAGATGACAAGAAGACGTCGACAATATAGCTTAATTCGGTAAGATCTTTTTCAACAGCATTCTTGAGCATCATTTGTCTTTCTTGCTTCACAAATTCACACATTTCAGGTGCAATTTCTACTTTGAAAACGCATTTGACTTTGTCAGCATCAATACATTCGTGAACACTGATGTGCTGGATATTTTTCATAAACAACAGTATAATGGATGCCTCTTCATGTAAGGATCTAAAAAGCTTGTCGACTTTCTCTTTCGTGTACTCTGTTTGTGAGAGCTTAGACGGGCAAGTACGTAGGGGAAAGCGAAAGAGAGTCGACTCATAATTTTTGTGAAAATCAAAATCAAATACTCCCTGGAAAGGTTTAAACTGATCGCGAATTTCACCATCCAGCAAACTTGACTTGATGACATACTGCTCTCCAGAATAACCGTTTCCAAAACACTCCTTATGAGGATCCAAAAATCCAACTTTATCGCCACTCACGATTCCTGGCAAATCTAACATATCACAAAAGAGAATTTAGTAATGTTTGTTTTTCTCGTTGGCAAAAGTTGTAATAAACCGGTGAGCTCTATATATATCTGGAGCGAGAACTCTAGTCCAAAAAGTGAAGTCAGCTTCGTGTTAATCGCGCAGACAAAAATAGAAAGCGACTGGAACTGACATCCAATATAGCTCCTTCAATTTCCGCCATCTTGGCAAGGAGTGTGCCGAAATTCGTATTTTGACTTTGATTTAAAAATAACCCTATGGTTTTATGAACTGATATCATGGTTAGCGATACGGTCCGGTAGAAAAAAAAACTGGAATTAGCTGGGGAAATGGCATAAAAGCTGTTTACGACCTTCAGAGCTATTGGACGTCAATGGCCGCCATCTTCGCTTCACCTTTCTCATAGACCGAATGACTGAAGTTTTTGCTCCAGATATATATAGAGATCAATGTACTAAACTTACTTTAACTGCGTGCCAAACATTACCGCATTGTGTCTACCTTCAACATGTTGGTAACGCCATGCTGCTAAAACACGGGCGGGGAAACCGGGAAACCGCTAATAAATGACCGTGCTACGTATGATCACAGAGGAGAGATACACAGAGAGGAAACTCGCGGCAAATTATGTCACGCACTTTTTACCGATATTCTAACTATTTAAAATTATATTAATTCACCATTTTATTAAATTTTGATAATACAGAGGAATAAAACTATACATATTATAGAAGTATTCATGTTTTTTATGCGAGAGTTTATATCATTCCTTGCTTTGCTATTTATACATGAGCGTCTGGAATTCCTAGCCAGTTCATTTCACGATTTTAATAAGGAGTAGATAGAGAAAAAACAAACTTTTCAAGTAATAAATTGCTATATGTTAACACTTTTAATAAAAGGAAATCAATAAAAGTGATCGCTTACCGTTATTCTACAATAATTTATTTGACAAAATTTCCACGGGTATTTCATTTTTTTTAAAAGCGATTTTCACCTTTGGAACGGCGTTTTCCCTATGCTTTTGCTATGAACTTCAGCGACAGCACTGCCACTGGCTGGGAAATTTTGTGTGGCGCATGGAAATAACATTTGTGCGTGACACAAAAATTGAGGTTACCGACGGCGAGTTTCCTCTCTGTATAGTCCAGGGCGCTGTAAAACATACGGGTGTTTTATTACGCCCTGGTATATCTCTCCTCTGTGGCACAGAACTGAAAAAGAAGGAACAGCAGAAGTTTAACTCTAGTCGGTTCCCTTATTGTTTTACGTCCACGAAAATTTTAACTCGCTCACGCCATCCTGGCTAGTACAACCGGAAGTTTTTATCAGGTTTTGGTAGGTACAAGTGCCGGTTGTACTAGCCAGGATGGCGTGATTGATGACGAATCGCTTGTAAAAACGCGGACAAATATTTGCTTGAGTGACGCTTCTGCTGTACCTTCCTTAATATTCTGTATCTGTGGTGTGATGCACATTAGGATTGGCGCGAGCGCGCTTTTTTGAAAAAAATCAGAAAATCGCGTACAAGATGGCGACAAAAATGTAAACAAGCAAACGAGAAAACAAAGGATTTAAATGCTAAGTAATTATGTTTCGTTAATTAAAATTTGAAATATTATTTAATTAATAAGTTATATCACATGCATGTAATAATAGCTTGTGTTGTTTGTTACTGAAAACTCGGTGAAAGAATTAAATATCAGGGCAAAAATTTTAGTCGAGCGATGAAAATATTTGCAAAATTTAAAGCTAATAATTTAAAATAGTGTTTTCTGCCCAGTGCCAGTGAGATAGGTTGAGATAAATTTGAACACACCAAACTATAGTATAGACATGGTGTTTTTGTCATAAAACGGAGATATCTTGCAGCCTTGCAATGTCAACGACTGCAGTCGCACGAAAATAGAATTCACACTGACTATTTTTGGAGTGTCGGCAGCAATTATACCAATAATAGAAATCGAATCAATTGAAAAACACTTTACAGTAAGCTTTCAATGTATTCCAAGCGAGCCGGCTGATTAACACAAAAACGGTTATATATAATATATATTTTAAGTTTTCAAATTGTAGTTGTTTTAAATGCATGCATGGTCAATTTTGGGCTATATGATTATTGAAAAATAATAGCCAAGCAATGTCAGAACATTCTTACAGTGAAAATGTTTATCCTATATATAGCTTCGCATTATGAAGTAAAATATCCTATTTCATATCACATTTTTCGTGTTTGGAATATGCCCACATTCGATCAGTTCGATTTCTTTTCAAATTTTTATACCGCTCATGATGAATCATTAAAGCCCTTATTTCCTTCATCAGATATATAAAAAATAATCCAACAATGTCTTCAAACCGTCAAGTTGTTTAGGAATGCAGAAAACATTTTTAACTTTAGTTTTTCAGCTCTTTTTTGCATAAACTTTTCATTTTTATTTACATTATAAATTAATGTATACGGGGGGTACGCGCATCACACATAGATCAAGGGCGCTATCTCCGTTTCACCGTCCGTGTTTTATAGCGCCCTGGCAACACTAAGGACATATTTGTTTAGAAAGCGTTAAAAACCCTAGTAGAAACCAGGTTGTTTTAATATATATGGTATATATGCGCGTTCTGGTAAAATGTGCTTTGACGTGTTGGAAGCGTAACCAAGATTGCATTCGATTCGATTGAAACACAAAATGAGCGCAATTGAATTGATGGCTGTGTACACAATTAAGAGTTTCTATCCGAGGTTATTTCTGGCCATAAGGGTAGTTTCAGACATATTTATTGATATCCTTTTTAATTCAAATTATAACATCTATCAGTCATATCTCAATATTGTTGCACCAATAATGGTAATTTCTGATCAGTTTGGCACAATCGGTCAGACACAATATCAGACGAATCAGATTTTTCTGCGTTAGATGAAATTGGGGTATTATATACCACAGACTGCATTTAATACTAATTAACACTGCATCATTTGGAATGAGAGTTCATATCCAAAGATCATTATGAGCATGCATGATGGTATGCTCTGGTGGGCAATGTTTTGAAATTAATCGTCCAAATATTTCAGTAGCATGGTAACAGAAAATTTGATGGATGCATGTTTTTGACAGGTTTAACTTTAGACATGGAAACAAAATGTGGCTTGTAAACCAATCAAGTGTGTGTCCAAAATGATTCCTTGACTATATTTGTCACTCAAAGATTGCATAAGTTGTCTTTTAATTGAAAACAACCACGTGCATGCATCAATTACACATGTATATTACACAGTGACACAGTACAGCAGAATATGAAAACGTTTTATAAATGTCGCAACCAATTTTTATTCAAATTCAACCGAGGTTAATAGATATATCTTTGACCAGACTTTTGATAGTTGTTTACTTTCTGAAAGACACATGACAGACAAACTAACACAAACAAATTAAAAACAAACATTAAATCAAATTGATTGTCACAGAGATCATTTGAAAATTATCTCAAAGGTAACTATCGAGAAAGTATGTTTACTGAACCTGTTACAGAATATGAAATCTTGACTGAGATTGATAACTTAAATGTAACTAAAAGTGCAGGTCATGATAATATCAGTGCCAAAATGGTAAAAGCAATTAAACAAGAGATTTGCAAACCTCTTGCACATATTTTCAATTTAACTTTTGAAACTGGATTAATACCGAATACACTAAAAATAGCTATTGTTACTCCTATTTTTAAAGCAAATGAAAAATGTCTAT